GCGAAACCAGCCAAGGCGGCGAAGCCCAAGAGAATTCTCAGGAAGCCCTCCAAGTCCCAGGCCGAGAAGCGCTCGGACGCGGGCCAGGGGGCGCTCGAGGAGCGCGAGCCTGAGGACGAGGAGCACGCGCCAGGAGGCGATGAGCCCGTGGGAGACAGGAGGCCGCTCTCGAGCAAGAGCCAGGGGCCCGCGGCAGATCGCCACGAGCCCTCGGCAGAGGGCCAGGAGCTCGCGGCGCCGGCGAGCAAGGACAGCGAGCCCAAGGCCATGGCCAAGCGCAAGGACAACACGCAGGTGACGCTCGCGGTTGAGGAGGGCGTCGGCGCGTCCAGCAGCAGCAACGGCGACGCCACGGCGGCGGTCGCGGAGCCGAGCCCTAAGAAGCCGCGCAAGGCTATCCGCGGAGAGTGCGGATGAGGATGAGGATCGAGGAGGTGGAGGGGAGGATCGAATGGTGAGGGGAGGAAGGGCCGCGAGGGCGGAGGAGGAAGGAGGGACGGGCAGCGAGGGCAGCGAGGGACGAGGCGGATGGAGTGATGAGAGGGAGAGGGGGATAGGGGGAATTGAGGATGGACGGTTAATGGGAGGAGACAGGGAATGGGCGGGGCAGAGACTATGGAGGCAGAGAGGTTGCGAACACAGGGGGGCGGAGGGAAGCGATGCGACGGAGATCGCTGGAAACGACTGCAGCAAAGGTTAGAGCAATAAGACGACGACGAGCATGGGGCCAAGAGGACGATTGGGGGATCGTCGAAGATGAAGCGGATGAGGATGATGAGAAGGAGTCATGGCGAGGACGAAGAGGAGTTTGATAAGTGCAGGGGTGCGTGGCGTTAGCGACGAGCGGCCGCCGCCAGGCGATCACCAGCGACATCGGCCCGTACGGATTCTTCGACAGCTTCGGGCTATGAGGACCGACGCCCCCCTTTTGCGCCTGCCGAGCCTGCAATCAGCGACCGAAGGATGAGGATCGAGGAGGCTGCCGATTCCAGGATGGAGGATAGGCGGGAGAAGCCCATGGGGACAGGTGGAGGGGTCGAGGCGGAATGCCGACAGGCAGCATGATGGTGCCGGTGCTTTCGTCGCCTGGCGCGGGGGGTCTCCCTCCTATCTTCGTCATCCCCCTACTCTGTCTCATCAACCATGCCATCTCCTCCTCCTCCTCCTCCTCCTCCTCCTCCTCCTCCTCGGTCTCATCAGCCGCGCCCTCCTCCACTTCCTCATCCTCCTCCTCCTCCTCCTTCTCGCTCTTCCCCGCCAAATCGTCCTGATTACCAATCTTCACTCAACATCGGCCGTCGTCGTTCTCGAGATTGCGGCCCCTCGACCGCTTGCCAGCATTCGGCGTAACCAGCCATTTTGGCTGGAAGGCGTTCGGCGCTGATCCCAACTTAGCGCCAGGCGCCTGTGCCGACATCCGTGGCCCGCGGCACACGGGAGAGCAGCCATGGCGAACGCTCGTGGCCGCGGAGACGGCGCTGCCGTGCCAGGAGCTGCTGCGTCGCAAGATCCCGAAGGCCTCCAAGCTACCCAGCCGTACGGCCAGCAGGGCACTGTCCACGCGCTCGGAGCCCGCCCGAAGGCTGCTCCGCGCGCGCGCCAGCAGGCTCCGCAGCGTTCGGCGGCCGTGGCCAGGGGGTCCGCGTCGCCAGCGAGAGAGGCGGCCGAGGCGCACGTGAAGGCCGCGCAGGTGGCAGCGCCCCCATCTGCCCGCGTGCCGCAGGAGGCAGCAGCGGCCGAGACTGCGCCAGCAGGAGCTCTGGCCGCGGGCCAGACGCTGGTGGATTCGCAGTCGCAGTTCCCACATCCGCGCAGTCGACGGGCCAGGTCCTGCATCCAGACGCCGCCAGCGAGCCTGCCGTGGTCGCAGCCACCGTCGCCGCAGTCGGCCTGTGAGTCCCCGCACGCGGGCGAGCCAGACGAGGCAGACGGCATCATTGGCGACTCTGATGGCGAGGCGGCCCCGACGCAGCCAGCCAGCTCAGCTGAGCTTTCTGGAGCGTTGGAGGCAGTGGAAGTGCCTGATTCGCTCGAGGAGAAGCGGAGGCAGATCGAGAGCTGCGCGCAGTTCAACCCAGTCGGGAACTACGCCAAGGATACGTACGAGGGCAACGATCCGATGCCGCCGAGCCGCGACGGCTGGCTCGCTGCACTCAGGGCCGAGAGCCAGCGTGATCACCATGAGTTCATGCAGAAGAAGGCTAACCAGATCGCGCAGCTGCAGGCGGAGATTGACGAGGCCAATCGGCAGAGCCTCGAGTCGTACAGGGAGGAGTACAAGCGCCGCCACGGACGCTCGCCTTCGCCTCCCCCAACGGGCGGCGCGACCTCGTCTGGCGCAGCTATCGCCATTGACAGCAGCAGCAGCGTCGAGGCGGACGCGGAGGGCATCGCTGGCGGCGACGCCCCGCAGGCTCTCGGGCGAGAAGGAGGGGCTGCGGTAGGATGAGAGGATCAAACATGCGTGAAGGAGGAGAGGGGAGGACTGGGGAGGGACGGAGGGCGGTGGAGCGGAGAGGGGGGCGGTGAGAAAATGAGCAAGAGGATGAGCAGGACGAGCTGAGGAGGATGATGCGGCTCAGGAAACGGAGTGACACAGTCGAGGAGAAACACGACCACGTACGCAAACGATATGGCAATCGACCATGCTGAGGACGTGGGAGAAGAGACAGGAGCTGGCCATGGGGCGAGGACGAGTGGGGGGAAGGGAGGAGGAGGAGAAGGAGGAGGAGGAGGGGGATGAGGGGAAGAATGAGGAGAAGGAGGGGGAGGAGGAGGGGGAGAAGGGAGAGGAGGAGAAGGATAAGGAGAAGGAGGAGGAGGAGGAGGAGGACTAGGAGGAGGAGGAGGAGGAGGAGGAGGACTAGGAGGAGGAGGAGGAGGAGGAGGAGGAGGAAGTGGAGGTGGAGGAGGAGGAGGAAGATCGGCTGGAGGGAAGGAGGCAGCAGGAGAGGGGACATTGGAGGCGGAGGTGACTAACATAGCAATGGGACGGGCAAACATGAACATTCGCCCAACTCTCCCCGCGCAGGCGGTGCCGGGCGCGGCGGCGGCTGGGGCGAGGCCCGAGTCGGCTGGTGCGGCTGGCCCTGAGGAGGTCGCGGCCGTCCACGAGGCAGCCGATGGCGCGGCCGAGCCAGCGGCGGCGCCGACGGCGCCAACCCCCGAGCTTGCGAGCGCCGCGGGCGCGGCGGGCGCGGGCGATGAGAACTCATCGGGCGAGAAGCCGCTGGTGGCAGCTCGCGCCCAGCGCCATGCCGATCGGCGCGCTGCTCGCAGGCGCCAGGCTGCCTTCGCCGACGTGACGCCGCTGAGGAGCGAGGTGCTGGGCCCAGATGCAAATTGCCCACGGCCTCGTCTCTCCCTCCCTCCTTGCATTCATGGCCCAGTCCCCCGCTCGTTCCCCCAGCCCCCATCGTGGTGGCCTTGTCGCTCGAGTCGTCGAGCCAGTCCATCGTCGCCTGCGCGGGGGGGGGGAGAGCGGGGTCGAGGGGCAGCTCGGGCGGTGCGCTCTCAGCAGGTGCCCGTCGGGAGCGAGATCTCCACGGCCCCCGAGGAGGCCCACGGCGAGGACCAGGCCGACTTGCTGACGCCTCCGAAGCTGCTGAAGAAGGCTGAGGAGATGCAGAAGACCTACGAGGACAGCGGCAGCCGAAAGCACTCCCATCTTCCTCCTCTCATTGTCTTCCTCCTCGTCCTCCTCCTTTCTCCTGCTCTTTATCCCTCACTACTTCCTCCTCGAGTCCCCTCCACCTTCCCCTCCCCAATCGCCTCCTTGTTGCCATGCCCCACCCTCTCTCCCGCTTCTCCGCCTCCTCCTCCGTATCATTCCCATCAGTTTCTTCTCGTGGCGCAGTCTTGCACGTACTTGGGCACGCTGCTTCTACGGCAGCATTGTGGTTTCGTGATGTGTAGGTTAGAGCTGGATAATGCTACGTAGTGGTTTGCAGTGAGACGTACTCGACTGCGCTACGAATGAAGGTACTTGCATCAGTGCTTGTTGTCGGGTGAAATATTCTGTCAGCTTTAGGACATCATCAAGAAGCCTGGCCAGATGTCGGACGATGACGAGCTGCGCCTCGCGACGTCTCTGGTCAAGGCTTTCGAGAGTGACACGTTCAAGGGGTTGCTGCAGGCCAGGGGATGGAACATTCAGAGGTCCTCCACGTGGCCCAGCGACCCAGAGACCTTCGGCCCGTCGCTGAACATGGAGGGCAGGCAGCCAGATGATCCCGAAGAGTTCCAGTTCTGGCAGAACATCGCCAGTCGCGGTTACTCTGTGAGCCTCGACGGCGCCAGGGGCAACCCGATCGCGGGGGGGTGGCAGCGCGAGCTGGACAAGAAGGACGCGAATGGCGTCACGCTGCGGTCAAAGTACGAGGCGGTCAGCGGCGCCAACAGGAAGCGCCAGTTCAGGGCGGAGTGGGCCAAGCAGATGCACAAGGAGTGCGTCGAGGTGCAGATGCACGTCAGCAAGGAGACGCGGGAGATGTGGAAAAAGTCCACGTACCTCCCGATCGGACGGATCGCCCACAAAGAGGGCGGCGGCAAGGCGGGCTGGCTGCAGGTGCCAGCGCCGCCAAATTGAAGCACCTGCACACCCACGCACGCACCTCCACCCCCCGTCCTCCCCCGAAGAGGAGGCGAGGAGAGGGAGGTGGAGGAGGAGCATAGGGGGGACATGATGCAACCAGCATGGGAAGGAGGAAGGCGAGGATCGAGGAGGCGAGGGTTGAGGAGGGCGACGCTTAGCACGGTGAGGGCATTGGAAGCAACTGTGCAGAGAGGAGGGGTAACATGTTACCCCTCCTCTCTGCGCAGTTGTTTCCAATGCCCTTGGAGGCGTGATGATCTCGGGGGAGAGGAGGGAGAGGAGGCAGAAGGATCCGCCCACCTCCAGCTAGGCTAGCAAATATATGTGGAAATGCATGTCCATGGGCCCGCCGTGGGTGCAATACGACGAGCTCACGGAGAGCTTGCGCGCATTGTACGTGGTCCAGGGGCTCACAGAGGTCTTCAGCGAGTGCTGGATACGCCAGAAGAAGTGGAGCATCAAGGGCGGCCATGACACTAGGGTTGAACCTCCACCCTTCCACCTTGATCAACCACTGGTATACTCATCATCATTACCCGTTTCTGTAAACAAATGGTCCTCGGACTCTCAGTCCTCCTCCTCCTCCTCCAACTCATTGTCCTACTCTTCTTCCTCCTCTTCCTCCTCCTCCTTCTCTCTCTCTCTCTCTCTTCCTGCTTCTCCCCCTCTCCGTGCCTCCAATCCTTCTCCATCTTCTCCACCTCCACCTTGCGATGTTGCACCCCCTTCAATTTCCGAAAATTCTGCCGCTCGAGGACGCGGGCGGCCTCGCTGGCCCAGAGCTTGCCTCGGCCTTGCCCGCGCCCGCTGCGGGGAGTTCGACTGGCGGCAAGCGGGGTGGAGATGCGATCGAGGTGCCTCGATCTCCTCCACCCCCTCCTCCTCCTCCTCCTCCTCCTCCTCCTCCTGTCTCTCTAACTCTCTCTCTCCTACTCCTGCCCCGACTCACGTTGACCCACTCCTCCTCCTCCTCCTCATTCTCCTCCTCTTCCTCCTCCTCCTCCATATCTTTCTCTCACTCTCCTGCCTCATCCTGCCCCTAGCCATCTTCCTCCTCACTCCTTCCTTCGGAGTGCGCCTAAGCGTACGTAAAGAAATGCTTGTCCATGGAATCCCCCTGGGTGAAGTTCGGCGAGTCCGATGAAAACCATCCGCGTGTTGTACGTGCCCCATGGGGCACGTACAACACGCACCCAACTCGCGCTCCTGGATCGCATCTCGACCAGCCTGGTCCACGGCCACAGGGTGCCGAGCAGAAGAAGCAGAAGGCTCTCCCCGCGGCTGCGTCGAGCTCGAGGCCGTCAGCAGAGGGCGGCGCGGCAGCAGCAGCAGAGGCAGCCTCAGCGTCGGCGGGGGGCCCAGGTGCTGCTGGCGCTGGCCCAGATGCTGCCGGCGCAGGTGCTGCTGGTGCTGCAGGGGAGCCCACAGGCGGTGAAAAGGGCAAGCGTGGCGGTCGCGGCGGAGCGCGTGAGAAGACAGCGATCGACATGCTGATGGGCAAGCTCAGAATGCTGAAGTCCAAGTACGACGGGGTGACGAGCCAGGCGCACTCTGTGATGAACTCTGTCCAAGTGGACCCTGATTGGCGGTGGTGCAGTCGCACCAACGGTGACGCCCAGTTGAAGGCCTGCATGGACACGCTGAGCGCGAAGATCGCGGCCGACATCAACGTCTCGCGCGCTTTGACCCTGAAGCTGCAGTCCTTCAAGCAGCAGATGTCTTCGGACGCTGCGCTGGAGGTCGCGCTGAAGAACGCTTTGGGGCTGGAGAAGGAGATCGATGACGTGGATGAGGAGACGAAGACGCTGTTCGCCTTCCACGAGGTGAAGATGAAGGCCCTCAAAGCAAAGGCTGACGCTGCAGGGGGGGCCAGTGAGAAGAAGCCGACGACCAAGAAGCGCAAGGCTGCCTGAGCAGACCACGCCGTGCGCACATTTTGCCTCGGCACTGCTGCTCTCACGCGAGCGGGGAGGGGAATCGAGGATAAGAAACCCAGAAACGCTCAGCCCATCAAGAAAACGATGCACAATCGGTTGATATGCGATTTTTCTCATAACAAAACTACTGGTCCCATGTGTGCCGCTTAAAATCGTCGCGTGTTTGAAGAATCCACGTGTATCTGAGGTCCCGGCTGCCGTTGGAATGCCGTTGGAAACCGATTTCAAGCATCGCCTGTTTTTGACGAATGTATCACGAAAATGCCATTGGAATTGAAAACAAGCAGCGTTGGAATGCCGTTGGAGTGCGTTGGAATTCACATGAGCATTGTTAAGGAGCTCGCGTGGGGTGAGAGCTGCTTGTCAGGCTCTCATTTCTTATAGAGCTAGCACTCATCATGCGTGCTAGTATACTAGCTCGTGCGACAGCGTGATTTTCACGCTCGAGGATCGTCGCAGCGCGCGAGCAAGCGCTGACGACATCTCGCCTGGCCTCTCATTCGTGGTGGTGCACGGTGGTCGGGGCATTCGAATTCCACAATGCCGTTCAGGCCGCTGTGGCGCTCCGTTGCGCAGGCAGTCCCCACTCCGTCCTCCTCCTCGGCACTGCTCATCTCCGCCGCCTCCTCCTGCTCCCGCCCTGACGTGCAAGTGATGACCCCATCTCCTCCCGCGTCCTCGCCACTGCTCTGCATGATGTTCAAACCTCAAACATGAACAACAACCCCATCGATGACCTCATGTCCCCCTCCCCCCCCATCGACCTCAATGCATCCCAATCCTTTCACTGTCCTCAGCCGCCGTGCTCCTCATCTCTCTTGCAGTGGCGCGCGGGCCGCAGTGGCCTCGAAGATCTTTCTTGTTGCCCGCCTGGGCACAACTCTCGGCGCAGGGAATGCTGCCTAGATCCATTGCCTCTCTTCGACTCGCCTCCTTCTGCTCGCTCCAGTACATGTCGCTATTGATGCCCGACTCAATGCGACGCCAGAGTGGCGTGCCCCCCCACCCCTCCCCTCCTGAACTCTCATGCGTTTCTCTTCCTCACTCCAGCGTGATTCCGCCCGCCTGCGTGCACTCGACGGCGTGGCTGATGGGTGGGTCTGTCCACGCGACAGTGTGATACAACATCAGTTTGACTCGTAGACATGAGCAAAACGAACTTCACTCAATGTAAGGTGTGCGGGCAATGTGGTGACCTCGCCTTGCTGACATGCTATGCTGTCTTCACTGTTCGCACACACGCATCTGCGTGCCGTCCTCCACCCATCTCACACACTTCCCTCTATCGATGCACTCTCTCTCTCTCTCTACTTCTCATCGCTTATTTTCTATACATATAACTATGTATCTATCGGGCGCTCTTCCCTCTTCTGCCCCATCATTGCGTCGCCCGTCCCCTGCTCTCTCTTCCCTTCCCCGTGAGTATCGTCATTTCTCTTCCTCACCTCCTCTTTCGTAGCCCCTCTTCCTCCATCCCTCTCCCGCCGCTCCACCCTCCTTATCTCCCATATTCGCGCATGCATTGTGCCTCCTACTGTGCGTTGGTGATGTGTGTCGTCGTGCGTTCTGTCATAGTGCCGCCCATTTCTTGGTCGTTCGTCACCCCATCGATACAGCTTGGCATCGATGCAGCATTCAATCGGTACAGCATTGCATCGGTAAAGCATTGCACTGATACAGCATTGCATCGGTAAAGCAGTGCAAACATTGCATCGATGCCTCACTGCACTGATACAGCATTGCACTGGCACAACATTGCGTCGATACAGTATTGCATCGATACAGTATTGCATCGATAATCATTGAATTGATGCAGCCTTGCACTGATACAGCATTGCATCGATACAGCATTGCATCGATACAGCATTGACTCGATGCAGCATTGCATCGGTGCAGCATTGCATCCATAAAACGATCGAAAAACATTTTCGGACCTGGAGTCCACCGATAATTGACGTGGCTGAGGAGAAGGGGGAAGGAGCGGGTGGCTTGACCATTGAAGAGATGCGTGCCTGATTGAAAAATGCTGGCGCTAGGACGGCGAGCGCATCGAGCTGGCCAACTTCGCCGATGACAACAACAACGACGTGGTCGTCGGCAGAGGGAGTGCCGGTTGCGCGGCCGCCCCCGCCCTCTGCGTGCGAGAGCAATGTCAGCATCGGCCGTGGCACAAGGGCAGATCGTCCGATAGTCTTGCATCCAACATTCCCTGGATCCGTCAGCGTCGCCCCGCCCGCTCTGCCACCCTTGTTTCCTTGCAGGTGTACAGTAGGCGACGATTAGCAAATGTGGATAGCAGCCAGCGCGGAGCCAAACATGACCCAATCTATCAACGAAAATAAAAACATAGGGCAATGGTAACGACGAAACAGACGAAGACAAGGACGAATGTCAACGAGAAGCGGAAACGTTGAGGTGGAGGGGCGAGGACAGTGGAGGTGGATGTGAGGGGAGCAAATCGTCAGGAAGCTTAGCTGAGCAAGAGAAGCGAGATCGGCGCCTGCGTTCGGTTGAAGTCGGCCACGACGGTTCCTGGCGGGGGCTGGAGGGCGACGGCGCACGGGAGAGGTGCTGGGAGAGTGGGCCAACACGAGATATTTGGATTGCTCTCGCACAACGCAGGATGTTTGCCGTGCCCGCATTTGGCGCAAGATGCGCGCTGGCCCGTGATTTCAACGCAGACGACGTCTCTGCACGGCCAGAGTTGCCGCGTGTTGCTTCCGCCAGAGTGGGGCTGCACTGGCGGGCCTCGTGATGCGCGGTAGCTCCGCTCGCATGCATTGTGACGTTTAATTGCTCCTGGCCCTGCGCAGCCCGCTCAGCAAACTACGTTGGCTCTCGGTGACAGGACGTGACAAAAATCAAGCAACGCACGGCACAATAAGAGTGCAAAACGGCACCGTTGGAAACCGACATCGTTGGACACATAATTAGAAACCAGCAGCGTTGGAAAATCGTTGGAAATGCGTTGGAATGCGTTGGAATTCCACATCGTTGGGTGCGGTTGGTGCGTTGGAAATCGTTGGAAATACAGCAGCACGCCAGAACAAATGCGCAATATACGAATGATGACGGATAGTGGGAAAGAGGCTGGGAGGGTACGGACGAGATCAGTACTAGACCGCAGTTGAGCAGAGCGCTCAGAACATTCACATGGCATGAGCTGTGCATCATACAAAGCAACATTGCGAGAGAGGGGCGGGAGAGGATGAGGGAAGAGGGGAGAGAGCGAGAGGAGGAGAGGAGCCGCGTCTGATTCGAGCTAGTTAGTTTGCTGCGCACTCGGCCCGGCTTGCTCGGCGCGCCAGGAGTTGCATTTGACTGTTGGACAGGGCTGGGGCATTGGCTTCAAACATCGTGTGGCTTCAGACATCGTGATTTCGAACCCAGGGTCCGCAAACTTGATGTTTTCCGTTTCTGGTAGGATCCTCGGGCCCATTTGCGTTGAATGTTTGTGTGGCCACGGGGCAACGCGACCCAAACATAACCAAACGTAACGCCCAGTAGCAGCAACGTTCAGATGGGGGCCAGGAGAGACAGGTGGTCAGCCAGAGCTGTTTCAGCTCAACCTTAATATTCGATTGATTGTGACCGTCACTCCCGCTCGCATGCATGTCAGCGCATGACAGGAGCCGCACTGCTCGCGGGCGCCAGCAAACGTGGCAGAACACTACTGGCACAGAGCGGAATGCTGGCGCGAATTTGCTCAAACATTTACTGTCGTTATATGGATCGTGCAGAATCACTGCTCAACAGTTTTGCGTCGCCTGTCACTTTTGCTATGAAGCCAATGTCCCAGGCGGTCATTTTCAACAGTATGCGAGACCAGAGGGGCTCCAGTCAGGCAAATACCAGGAGCACTGAGATCGAGTTTTACCGCAGCCAAATCATTTGTACCTAACACAGGTCCCAATGAATGCACACAACTCGCCCCTGAGAACCGTCCCCAGCGTGCCGGTTAAGCTCGGGTACGAGGCCATTGAAGATGAACTAGCATCAGACCCCAGCATTTTTGAGCACATGCGCATGGACCCCGAACATCGCCCTGAAAGCATCATGGACACCCCTGCGTATCAGACGAACCCTCTTGTACAGCAAAGCATAGCTGCTGGGCGCCCCCTGCCCATTCCAGTGGGGGTGTATGTGGACGGGGTGGCGTACATTCAACAAGCAGCAGGCCGCAGTGATTCAGTGGTTGGTTTCTGGCTCATAAATTTAATATCTGCCAAGAGGCACCTGCTGTGCACATTACGAAAGAGTGACGAATGCCAATGTGGGTGCCGAGCTTGGTGTTCGTTGTTTCCCCTTTTGTCGTGTATTCGTTGGCAACTCGAGGGCATGGCGCAAAGTCGTCGGCCCGCGGCGATGCATAACGGCGACCCGTGGCCTCCAGGTCAATCCCCCGCAGTTCCAGAGCTTTCGTATTCAGCAGTGTTGTTATTCGTAAAAGGTGACTGGTGCGAACATTCTCGTACACTAGGTTTATCCTCGTGGGCACAGAAAGATAGTTGCTGCCAGTTCTGTGAATTAAGCCAGGAGGAAATGCACGACCACCCCGAATACATTATGGATCACAGCGCGGAGCAATGGCCTCTTCGGTCACATAATGATTATGAGCGCGCAGTACAGAAGTGTGAGGTTGAGGTGAACATCAGCACGCGCGCGCAGTTGAGAGAGCTCATTGACTGTCTACGGTAGTACAGGCACAACTCCAAAAAATTCGAGAAGCATATCCGCAGCAGGTGCATGCGCACAGACGCGACCATTGCAGGCACACGCCTTCTTCGAGGTGACAGGTTGGAGCCATCCGAAGCCCTGCAAGATATCGCGTCCCTTTCGGCTGCCACGCGTCTGCCCATGAAAATCGTGTTCTGGAGGCCGAGGCTATCTCATAAAGGTTTAGTTCTGGACCCCGTGCAACATCGTTGTCCATTGTTCTGCCGTTCCTTGCACTCCAGCCCCGCTCG